TTTGGTTCCTATTAATCGAGATACCCATGTTCTTTTTTTTTCAGATTTATGTGAGACCTATGAAAAATTCATTTTACCAATAATTAATATCATTTCTCAAGTCCCAAGTGGATAAATAGCTTTTCCACCAGAGGAAAATTTGACAATACATAGATGGGACAAAATTGTCTCTTTCAATAATAATATTTTATGACTAAAATGGTCATTATATTATTTACCTAAAAAAAAATGGAATAAATACACTTATACATGAAAAAACATTTACCAAGGGAAATGCATATACCCCGATAATTAACTTCCCAAAAAACAATCGGGGCCTTTAATGAACAATGCCTTTTTAACTCCAAAAGAAATCGGATCCTCCCTACTATGTCCACAGCCAAGATTGACATATGCACCCAAATCGTCAAAGGTGCATCCGCTACATCTGTGCCCGAGACTGATCATCGAAGAGGTGGGGTTAGATACGGACAGACCGTTCTCATTCGGTCATATGAACTTGGTGTAGCCTCCGTAACCTTCTTCAGGCGCTACTATTTACTAACAACACCAGCAACGAACTGGTAATTAATTTTTCATTTTTCCCTGTAACCCTGATCTATGAGAAATCAGGAGACTGCCTCTAACCATGTATGGATGTCAGGGATTCTTGGCGATGGGTTTGGAGCCACCCATGGCATGATGAGGAAAAATCCCATCTGGGTTGTCAGACAGAAGCACCTCGATCCAAAATCATTCATCATTTTTGGCAACAAATATAGCAGTCCAACTGACCAAGCAACGCCACTGAGAGTCCAAGATCAACCATACCATGATACTACTGAAACTGTTGCGAAAAAATGAACTCAATCTATGATCTGTTGGTGATATTTACATACCCATCTTCAGATTCTTTGCCTTTCACTGAGATTGAAACCATGATACAACAATCCCCATCACAGATATCAGGATACCAGAAAACTGCAGTCTGAGATCTGGAAAAAAAAAAACACTAAAAATAGCTCAAAGAAGTCGAGATCAGGCCTCCCCATCTTGTTCTTGTCCATTTTCGTGCTAATTTCCTTCATGGGACACCTTCACCTTCAACTGCAAGCATCATGTATGCCATGCAGAGATGGCACTGTGTGCACAAACTGTGGACAAAGAAATCATAACTTGTTTATAGCCAGCCATCTTACTAACTAAACTCTTCGAATCATAACTAGAAATCTACATGGGTGAACAAGTTTCACAGGGGAGAGAATGGAGATTGACACATAAGTAATAGGTTGGCGAGTGGAAAGAACGAAATGAGACGAGACTGGACAACTCAGAGTCACACGACCAAAGACGTGTTAGGTGCAACTAGGCATGGATCGAGTAAACATTTTGTGCCATTTCTTGTTGCTTCCATGGATGTGATAGTAGTTTAAGAAGTTGAACATGGAGCAGTACTTCGGTGATGATGAATCAAGGAACTAGGCGACTCTCCAAAATGCCAGAAATGAGAGCTGAAACCTCGCCTTGATCTATCCATAAGAATCCCCATCCAAGACGAAGTCCCTGAGAAAATCAAGGATGTCATCAATTCTGATACGAAGGCAACTTACGACGATGACTCTTTCCTGATTTGTAAACCTGTACACTTAAAATGAAATTTAACAGAATTTGCTTTTCTTTTTTACTAATTGTTGGATTTTAATTTCATTAGAGATTAAATCCAATAGGGTTTGACTGATCAATTACATAAAAAATACATCAGCATACATGTCTTGAAAAATAGCTTTTTACTCTTACTAAAACCAATTTTAACTTATCCCACATTGAAAAATTACCAGACTTCTTTTAAGTATTTAAATAGGAGAATATGGAGGCTTGCTACCATGTAATGTGTGCACATGTGTGTGCGGCACAATGAGGTGCAACGCAAAGAGCAGTTTTGACTTTTAGTGTGAAGCTGACCGTAGATGTTTTCAACAGCCACAATTCGATCAGGTGTGATTAAGAGGCACAATTCAAAGTTAACAGTCATTTACTGTTAATTACCTTTTTAAACATTGTGACTGTTCAATAAGCCTTTTCTGAACCAGCACATTTCTCTGCTCCATAACTCTTCAGAAATTATTTAAGGAGCGTGTCAAGCATTTACACACACAAGTTTTCGAAATCACTCATGTCTCTCTCAGTCTAGTCTGTTACTGTCTCACAAAAGGTTTCTTTAGAGACTCTTCAACTTTGTTGGTTGCAGATTCTCGCCCAAGGCTCTGCTGTATCCTGAGAACGGATTTGCCTGTAACCCCACAACAAATTCAATGGAACTAAGTGGGGGAAAATAACGTTTTAAAGACAATGTCTTCAGACGCGCCTCAGAGTTTCTCCTCCAAGTTCTAGTGACCCCCTTTTCCAACACTAATCTCGTTTATTACTTTGAACTTTTAGAGCCCAAAGTGTCAATTAGACCTTCAATCGAATCCGGTCCAATATAAGTCCATTAAAGATCAACCTGGTCCAATCTGATGAATACTTTGGACCATTTTGAAACAATCCAATTCAATGATGAAACTGTCCAATCTGTTTAAATTGGTTTTAACTTAGATTGGTTCCAACCCAAACCTGATCCATTAACACCTATATTCTTATCTTCTGGCAATAGACTAGATATTTGTTCAATCCAACCCAATACAATATAAATCCATTACAGATGGACCAGGTCCAATTGAATACTTTGGACCATTAAATCTAAACTGGTCCAATTGTCTTATTGGTCCATCCAATTCACCCAAATTGATCTTAACCTGGATGGAGTCTAACCCAAAACTGGTCCATTGACACCCCTATTGTCAACGTCAAGTACGTAAACTGGATGCTTGAGATAAAGAATTGAAACACTCCCACAACCATTCCTGGCTCAAGTCTTCAGTGCATTGATATGGAGCATACCTAGTTTCGTTTCCCTTTGGGTTTCAGGATTGAACGTCCACCGTTCCACTGCACCTAACAACAAGGGAAATTTTTTAAGAAAAATATCCACATTGAGTGATTGAATCTAAATACTTTGAATTTTTCTTGCTCAGTCCATCCCTAATCCAATTTTGGGGAGTCACCATCTTGCATCATCTCGGAATATATTAGAGAATGTAGATAGAATGCCCAATACAGTCCAATCTCTGATCCGGATGATGAAATTTTGAAAGATCAAGTTCAACAAATTAATGGTTTCAACATTTTCAGTGGATATTCTTTGGCATCAGAGATTTCTGAGGGCAGTGGACTCTTCAGATTGCCAATAAGGTACACAAACTACTTCAAATTCAGTGAGAATCCGAAAATGAAGAGATTGTTAGAGGAAGAACATGGGAAAGAAAGCTTTCTACAGTGCCATTTTCTACACTGGACTTTAGTAGCTAAATTCTTCATGCAAATATGTACAATTTGAGAGGATGGGTCCAAGTTCACATCAATTCAGTAGCTAAATTTTCCCGATTTCACATCAATTCAGTCCCAACCTTCTGTTTCTCTGTATAAGATGAGATGAAGTAATAAAGTTTGAGAGGGTGGATCCAATTTCGGCAATGAAGATGGCCCTAGAATTATCCGTGAGAAGAATACAAGTCCACATTTCTCAATGATTTGGACTCTTAAAATTTAAAGTACATAAAACAAGTAGAAAAATAGTGGTGGGATGCAAGGTGTAAGCATACATTTTGTGGAAAGGTATCAGCCAGCAGAACAAAAACCATCCTACAATCAAATGAACGAAATAAGTCAGGTAAGAGATCCATCCATCCTAGAGGACAATGCACACTCACATATTCATGGGCCGGGCTCAGGCTTGACTTTTGCCAAATTCTAATGGATCCAGTCCAAAGCCGGGGCCCAAGACGGTGTAAAATTGGGCCCGAAGCCTGGCCTGTGAACAGGTAAATGCACCCACACGCATCATTCACGATACATTCAATAAGTACAACACTAGTACTCCTGAGTCATGACATAAAACATTAGTAGCATATGTATTCATTTCTGGACATGATGTTTTTCCCCTTGCCCATTCCATCTGTAAGCTCTGTTCTATGGGCAAGATGCCCTTCAGAAGGTCTCTTGTATTTCTTCATGCAAAAGATCATGAGCAAAAGATCTTTTACCAAGAAATCCTATTTGTGCTATTGCATCAAAGATTAAAATAACCACTGGAGAAATTTGACAAGATCACTACATAAGAATGTGGAAGAAATATCTGCAATAACTGAACTTGGCGCTGTGTATGAGAACACTCAAGGACTATATTCATTGTGCTCTAGGTCAAAAAAAACAAAGAAAAAGAAAAATCAATGGTCTTGGATACTCATGTAAAACATAATTAGTGTTATGTGAAATAGGATTATTTTGTACAACAATATATTCACAAATAAATAAGAAAAATGGACAACATGCCAAAGTAATGCATGTGTACATGGAATAAGGATAATGAAGTGAGGAATTCAGATTGACGAGTGCCAAAACTAGGAAAGACATCAAAAATTAGTGGACTAGACTATCCAGAATTAGCTCCAAGAGATGGTGATGAAAAAAAAAAAGCAAGTAGATTGATCTGACTTGTCTATGTGGACGAGAGAGAGAGAGAGAGAGAGAGAGAGAGAGAGATCATCTGGAAAAGTATGAGACAGACAAAAAGTCTGTTTCACAATGTTTACGTGATAAAAACAAACAGAAAAATCATGGAGCAAACTCATCAAGAAAATAATGGCTGAAAATAAAATGAAAGATGACAAAGAATGAAAGCATAAAACAGCCAAAAGGTTGGTATTCCAGTATTAATTTATCATGGATACATCAAAGAATGTGGGTTCTAGTCTGAGAGGCCACTTTGCGCAAGAAGAAAAAAGTAACAGAGAAAAAAAAAAACAAAGTTTAGATCCATAACCAATCCACCCCTCCCAAGACCCCAGATATATGGGACCAACATTGGCTAATGGCATTTTTATAATTGCAGGAAAAAAAAAACAATGAAATACACAGATAAATTTGAAGAATACTCATATCGGTTTTATCAACCAAATGAAGAAAAGTTATTTGCTTGCTACCCAAACAGAATATTCTCAACTTGCCAGATCATTCTTCTGTGATTAGGCATGAACATTTACACATCATTAAGGTTATCAATATGTACAAATTGGATTGCTACCCCTGAAATCAGGAATAAATTGAAAAAATGGTGTACCACAGACAAAATTACTGCCTCTTTCTACCCATGGTTCGATGCAATTGCCATGACCACACGATCAAGAATATTACAAGGGCTACACCAACAGATACCCAGAAGATGACCAACCATAGAGGCATTGAGTTGGGAAATAAGCCTGGGAAAATCAGGATACCAAGTTGTGAATGTCAGTCAGGAAGCAGTGTACTAATGGTAACTCTGTCAATACATCTCTGACAGCGAGCATATCAGCCACCAAATGAGATGTAACAGAAAAGCTTTAAAAAGGTAGTGATGATGATGATAGAAGAGTTCAAGAGCTCACCATGGCCAAACTTGATACATATAAGGAGTTCAACTATGCATATAGCTAGGGAAAGCCAGCAAAATGCTCCTACTTTTTTCACTGGTTTTCTGCAATCAATCAACACAGTAAATAAGAAATTGAGAAAAAGATGACTAAATATACAAATTTTCTTTTTCTGTGCATATGGGCATCTGCTCAGAGAGAGAGAGAGAGAGAGAGAGAACCTGTCTTGTAGGTATGAATTGTACTCGCGGATGGTTGGTATTGCAATTAGCCACCATAAGATCAACCTATACACAATGAGAGGATTTCTAGGAGGAATCCATAGACAGAATTTTAGGAAGAATGTATTGAGCTCCACTGTCAAGAAAACAATGCAAAGGCTAAGAACTTGGATGAAACGCCATGGACCAAGCAAAGGATGCCATTCATCCTTGTCCCATCGTGCTGGAGTGAATTGGCCTAATGTTCGTTTTACCTGGAGGGTACAGGACACAATAAGAAAACAGAGAAGTAAAAACAAAAACTACCAGATATATGTGGATATAACATAGAGCCAACTCCATAGCTGGGACAAGGCTTAGATGAAGATGATGATTAAATGATGATGATGATGATGATGATGTGGATATAGCAGCATAAATCTATGTAAAAGCTGTAAGAATTTTGAAGCTCCAAGTCAATTTTACTATGCAGAAAATGCACGGAAAAATACTAGTTGAGATGGAAAGCCTCATTTTTACAACACTGGCAACAGCATGCATCTCAATGTAGAAAACAAATCTGAGAAGTCCAAAGCAGATTAAAGATATTTACCACTCAAGTTTCTATCCTGACTGTGTAATTGAGTAACTGGACCAATAATCATCAACACCTTACAATATAAATATAAATATATATAATATAATATATTCCTCAACACATCTCTAAGGTCAAAAACAACAGAACTAGATATATGTTTGAAAAATTATCTCTAGGCTAAGAGGTGGTTTATTTGGAGTACAGCCATGCAAAAACATCAAAGGGTCTACAATACAAAGAGGGCTAAAAGATGCTTCTTATGGGAATAAAGAAATTGAGAAAACTCAATCAGGTAAAGTGTTAATTCTCTTGTGCAAGATAATAGTGGCGTTCAAGATTAGTTTTGATAGAAACAAAGAAGGTGTTTCGATGGAGAATGAAGGGGAAGAGATGTGGAGGCACCAATAAATGTGAATGGTAAAGATCAGAAGATGAGCAGAGATTTGAAGAAAATGAAAATTATGAGGATATAATAGCACTGGATAAAGCTTAATATTGACAAGAAAACAGACATAAACAGGGTAGTAGAAAAAGAAATTGAGGTTGGAAAAAAATGGCTGTTCAATTTGGGAATTAGAGGTGAAAGGAAGAAGTAAAAGCTCTTAATTTTCTTGATGGGTCAACATGGATACGGTCAAAGTTTTGATTGAGAGAATGGGGAGATGGATCGAAGCCAGTTGAAATAAAGTATTGACAGTGGATAGTGATGGCGTGGGTTGAAATATATGACAAAGTTTGTGTGTTTTATTTCAATTTAGGCTACTTGGGGGAGGAGGAAAGACATTTCGGTTAGACTAGCTTGGCCTGAAGAGTCTTAAGAGGATTTTATTTCCTTTTTCATGTGGACACATTGCAGGATTACTTGTAGGTTTTGTGATGGGGGTTCTATTTTAGAAGGGGTGTGGCAAGGTTGCATTTGAGTTGGTGGTGTTTTTATCTTTGTTTTCCTTGTTCCCTTCCTCCTTTATGTGAACTAAAGGGAAGATGGAAGAAAAGGTAGTTCAATGTTTTTCTAACTTTCTACTTTGCATGCTATACAAAGATTGGTAGATATGTTTTAACCAGCAATGACACGAGGAGAAATGATTCTAAAAGACACTGTATATGGTATGATCCAACGGTAACTTGAGATTCAGAACATAGATGGATGTGTGTCCCATTTGGAGCATTGGAAGCCCCTCATGGAATTCTAGCTCAACATAACTTCCACATCAGAAATATTGACTTCCTTCAGATGGATTTACCAGTGTAACCATAATAAAATCAATGTTGGAAATTCAAAATGATGTCACAAAATTCACTAAAGTTTTGGAATATTTTCAGAACATACTTTACCAATGATATCTGGTTGGCGACTTATACCAACCCACTCATATGTTCTTCCATCAAAGTACCGGACGGTACGCATTCCAGCCCAGATCCCTATATAGAAAACAACCAGAGAACTCATCATAAAAGAAATTGACAAAAATTTACAACACTTGCACAGCATCAAGATAGGTACAAATTTGGATTATAGGTTCCAGGAGTATACAAGTAAAATCTTAACATAATAGTGCATATCTCATACATTCAACTTCATAAGATACTAACATAAATTAGAAACTGCCAAGAAACTTCATAGTTAGCTACAGACTACCTTCTACAGGATCCACTTCCCAAAAAAGATATTGCTGAGTCCATAAATGGAATCTACTGAAGTTTACACATTGACTCCTCATTTCATGGCTAAAACTAAACTCACTTTGACATTTTTCTTATAAATAACTTAAATATTTTATTAATTATGAAAGAGAATATAGACATGCAATACAAGCACCCTGTGAAAAGGACTTACAAATTATCCACTCACATAAAACAAGTTACAATTAAGACCAATCAGTGATTTAAAAGGTGTGTGTAGATGCACAGGCAAGGCACATGCCTGGTGTTCCTTGCACTTCACCCAGGCATGCACCCTTTTTTTTTTGCGCCTTTAGTTCTTTATTGAACCTAGTGGCTCCAAAATTCCAAGAACCCCCTATTTACTAATGTTTTTCATTCATTAATCCTAATAAAATGTCTTCTTAGAAGGCAATTAAAATTATAAAATCCCTTTTTTTATTGTAGGGATTAAGAATTTAAGACCCTAGCATGGACTTGTTTGGGCTTGCCTCAAGGGACTTGGTACATAGGTAGCTCATAGAATCAGGAATGCAAAATATTTTACATCACATTAGCTATTTGAAGTAATGCAATTGGGAAAAAGAAAAGAGATTAAGGATTCTACATGCTTTAATATGTTTTATATGTTTGATTTTATTTTAAAATATTCATTTGAATATGTTTTACATGTTATGTTTAATTGTTTATGTATTTTAATTTTAGATAATAGATTTTTCTAAACATTTGTTTAAAATTCAGCCATCAAAAAAAAACATTTGTTTTAAAATTTAAGTTTATATTTTTAATTAATATTATGTTTAAAGTTTTATTTTTTGTTTTTTTTTCTTTGCATTTTTGCCTCTTGCTTCGAAAAGGCATGCATGCCTCACCTTGCGCCTTGTGCCTCGAGCGCAAATTGCCCTGCCTTCCGCTTTTAAAACACTGAGCAATACAATTGTTCCATATTGACCTCCTGTTTGGCTAGTGTATCAGCCAAGTCGTTTCCCAACCTTTGCACCCAATCACTACTTCAGAATCACCTTCTATAATCAGTTCCCTTATGTTAATCAAAAGACAACACAAAAATAAAAAACCATCTTATTTTGACTAATACAAAAAAACCTAAAATGGAAAAGAGACCCCAGAAGGAAGCCTATTAATAAAGCGATGATCCAATTGAGTACACTCAAATCTCAATAAGCCATGAGCATGGCAAAAAAAATTCAATTTCATCAGGCATTTCTCCATGTACAAATGCAGAAATTTCAGGGAAATTCCATAAATTCCACTCAGATACAAGGAAAAACTAAGAAAATTGGGAAAATATTATAAAGATTAGAAGGAAAATGGAATTTATTTATGAAACATCAAGAAACCCTGCAAGAGGTAAAATTGCACAATTAAGAAAACATTATGTAAACAAAATGTTCTGAAAATCAAATCATACAATAAATGCTAGAAAAGGTTGGATCAAATTGAATCACAAACCTTATTTTAAATTGTAAGATCTATTTCTGTTTTTTAAAATTTGTCAAGAAATTAAAAATAAATATAAACTTTAAAAAATAAAGGAATGACAAAGTAGGCAACTAGGACCAAATCAAATTGATTCAAATCACATGAATCATATACATCATAAGATTCAAAGATTTTTTTAACAATACATAGAAGATTAAAAATCCCAAACAGGTATCAGTGGGAACAATTCACAAAAGCCCAATATAACTCGAATATCAAAACTCCTTCAATTTCATTCTTTTTCTTCTGAAAACTGTATATGTAAAGTGTTTCATTTCAAAAAAAAATAACAAAAAATAAATGTACAAAAGACAATGCCAGTACAAAGAGGTTCTGTATCACACAACGTGATTCTCTGCAAGCAAAAATTCTGTACACACTACAGAAGCATAGGAATCCAGCAACATATTGGGAACATCTCCCCATGAATTTAACATACATGTACAGGAGATATTCCCAACGTGTGGCTGGACACTATGTGAGCAGAGATTTTGCTTGCAGGAGATCTGAGAGGAAAGGATTTACAACCATATAATATGCCCAAACAGCAAAACTCCCTCAATATCAGGTTCTTTAAAATAATATCTACTTTGAATTGTTGTGACATCATATTTATTACTATTATGATATTTTGGCTGTTAATTGTTGTTATGATTATGACGCCAGTATGTCACCATATGATTCTTATAAAGAGTGCATTATTCTCCAATTAATTATTCAACAAAAAACTTGTAAAGGAGTTTTATATTCTGAAAACTCAATTAAATTTGTTTATTTTTCTTTTTCGAAATGGTAAAGTACTGTTGATTTTTTGAAACAGTAAACTCAATGATTTACTGTTTCAAAATTTTGATTGGTAACTTTGAAACTTTATCAATATGTGCTAAAGAATAGGAATAATGTACAAAATGAATGTGCCAAGCACCCCTAAAGCTTTAGATAAGCCCAAGCTATAACTCCATGATTTAATTTTACAATACTGCAGTTAGTTAACCATGATTCCCCAAAGTAATGCCCCCCCATGGCCCCACTACAGCCAGCGAGCTCCCCAACCTCAATTCTTGTGATACAGCCAATAGTTCTATAATCAAGAAAACTAATTTCTTTTTAATTTTATGAAAAAAAAAAGCGTGGTTTGAGCATTTTTGGTGCACATGATTGTTTTCATTTGATTTTGGCATAACTATTGAAATTTCTCCAATATTACACCAAAATTTGGAATATTTACATATAATAAATTGAAAACTTTGCTAATATATCAGATTCTTTTGAAGTATCATGATATATTTAAAATGTTCATTCCAAGAGATTCTTGTTTTGCCGCTTGGGGAAATGGGAAATTTTCAAGGAAAGTTCTATGTTCCAAGGAAATTGAAAACCAACTTTTTTATAAATAAGGAAATTGAAAACCATTGACTTGTTAGTTGGAATTTTCTGTTGTCTTAAATTTTTGAGCCAATGAAGGAAAAGCACAGCAAGATGTTCATTGTTTACTGAATTTACTCATTGAGAATGCTCATTGGATCATTACATGTCAAAAAAAGAGTCCTAAAACATAAGCAGAGAAAGTATTAACCATGAGACAAAACAAAGGAGCATAAGATTTGATGGGTCAGCTAAGAAGTGTACCCTGATACAATACAACTCAACCCTCCTAACCTCGGTCTAAACCAAACTAACCACCAGAGGATATGTTGCAATCAGTTAAATGTTTGATGAAAATAGTGCAAACAATAGAAGTCTATGAATGTTATGACCTCCTTCTGAGTTATCCAATTATGCAATACAACAAATGAAGCGCACATATAACATTACCTAAACAAATGTCTTCATTATAATATATTAACCCCAGACTATCAAATAATCATAATTAGGTGCCCATATCACATACTGTTATAGAAACAATGAACTAAGTACTTTGATAGACCTGTACATCCTGAAGCTGCCTAGTGCCTATGAATGCACCTATGGAAGGATAACAAAAGACCAATGAACAGAATGATTACAATAAACACTTTAGCATCATTGCTAAAGTCATTTTAGTGATAAGAACAAGCTAATGTTGTGGGAGGAGAAATTGATGGAACAGCTTATACCATACATAGAGTCCTATGATAGGCCCCCAATTAATTTTACGTATGCCAGGAAGGGGAAAGGTCAGCTTTCGGCCAAGGGGGGAAATAATTGAACATGGGGGAACTTATGGCTGGAGGGAATAAGGAGAGTTTTGTAGCATTTATAGCTTGTCAGTTGGGAATAAGAAGAGTGTGGGGCATTTATAAGTTGGCCAGCTGGGCATTTATTATGGAAGGCAGTTATGCTGTAAGATGTGTATAAGAAGGGGCTTTGGGGGATGGAGGAGGCAGACTTTTGATGAGTACAGAATTCTGAGAGTGCTTGGGAGAGCCGGCGGTCTCTCGAAGAACCGACCTACTGTAAGTGACCTTCTTTTCTTCTGAATGAACATCAGTTCCCTGTTGATGTACTAGTGGTTTGGATTCTGCTATGAGTCTGTGAACTGCGTGTCAAATTTCTGGGTCATATCAGTGGTATCAGAGCCCAGGACGAGAAATACAGCCCGGGACATCGTTGTGCTCAAAAATCACTTCAGGTTTTATGGGTTCAAGATGATGTAGAGGAAATTGCTTCTGATGCGTCTAATTGGGACTGCACTTCCGAGGACACTGAAATTGCTCCGGCTCCAGAATCAGCCGCACTTTGTGTTTCGTCTCTTGTTGGGTTGTGTGCGGCAAATTCCCTTAAGGTGCGTGGAC